CCGGTGAGAAACGTTGGCTCGAGCAAACAACGTGTGTATCGAAGAACCCGTGAACTCACACACGTGGCAGATACACATCGGAGATGGAACTAGCCTGATTCTCTTCCCTCTTTCTCGTCGTCTAATTGAGAAATTAAAGGGAAACTTAGGGGGGGGGGGGCCGTTGGTCACTAAGGAGTGAAAGTGCAAAAGTTGCATAGTCGCTGTTTCCCGCACGATCGATGAGAAGAATTGCTTCGAAGAAGTGTGTTAACGCTGGAAACACCACCGACGAGTAAAACTATAAAATTTCCATCGTCGAGAATCGCTCGGTCAAAATACCGAAACTGTTTTATATACCTTCAAGAATAATATCTAACAGAAATATTCAAGTGGTCGTTTCAATTATTTTGGTAGGTCTAGTGTTGGCACTCGATATACCGAGATATACACAATTGCAGCGTGATTGTCGAGACGTTGAAGCAAGAGAAACAGAAAAATCTTTATTTTATGAAGAATCAGTCAAAATACTGAAACATTCAAGTGGTCGTTTTAATTATTTTGGTACTCAATATGCTGAGACACACACACACACAATTCCTTGGAGATGATTTTCCTTATTTTTATTCTACATTTGCTCTTTGATGTACTTCGTATACAGCAATCTGATAGAATTCTGAATATTCAAAAATACTCAAAAAGACTGACCGAGGAGAAAATACTGAAACATTCAAGTGGTCGTTTTAATTATTTTGGTACTTGGTGCTCGATATGCTGAGACACACACACACACACACACACACACAATTCTTTGGAGATGATTTTCCTTATTTTTATTCTACATTTGCCCTTTGATGTACTTCGTGTACAGCAATCTGATAGAATTTTGAATATTCAAAAATATTCAAAAAGATTGACCTTTCAACTTTCGAAAGATACTTCTGAGTGTGGGCAGGCCGTGCCTCTGAGAAGTGAAATCATTAATTTGCGTTGGACAAAGTACTTTTAATTAAGGGAGGGAAAACTCGGTTTTATTCGCTCCCTCGTTAAAAGTCTCTCCCTGTACTAACTCTTTGTATCACTTATGAATGTGAAACTGAACATAAAAGCCCCCGGGTGGCACCTGTGTAGGGTTGGCCAAACCCTTCTTTTGCATTCTGATCCCTTTGTTTTTAGAGATCGTTGCTCGGATACGTTAGACGGATATTAGTGTAACACTGAGGTTGCTTCAACGATATCCCTGTTTTTTTTTTTTTTTTTTTTTTTTTTGTTTTTTTTGCCCTACGGACTTTTCTTTGCTTATCCACGTCCATCGTTTTAATCTAACACGGTTGAACATGTGTGAACATCTTTTATAACCTGCGATACCTACTAGAGAAAACAGAAATTAATTACAATATGCAGAAGATAAAAGGAGAGAACAAAATTAATTATATATATATATATATATATATATATATATATATATATA